AAAAAAAAAAAAAAAAAAAAAAAAAAAAACCAAACAAACAAAAGTGCAGTCAAGAAACGCGACTGATTATAGTCAATGACGAGTGGAGGTTGATGATTACCAAACCATTCGGAAGGTCGAAGGTAAGAACAACCAACGGACGTGATGATATTACCAAAGGGAAGAATAAAAAAGATAGTACAAAATAAGTTGCCAGCAACGACGATTACAGAACATATTGCTTACACTGCCAACGACTTCTCGCAATCGCAATGCACATGGTGACCGACACGTTCCCGTCGCATACCACAGTCGTCACTCATGAGGACAACAAAAGTTCCCTTCTCGAAATAACAAACAAGACACGGGTACTCTACCCCCTGGAGAATAATTGAAAACAGGGCAGCCGTACGCGAGTTACAGTGCATTGATACTCTACCCCCTCGAAATAACAAGAAAAATGTGCAGCCCTACGACGATGATCATCCACGCGAGTTACGGTGCATTGCTACTCTACCCCTGGAATAACAACAAAATAGGGCAGAGCTACCATCATGATCGTCCACGCGAATAACAACATCATAAACGTCGGTGGTGCGATAAACTTCAAATACACAGTCCTGTTAAACTCCCAGTTCTCGGGGGCGACTTCAACTTCCGAGATGGGAGTGACGATGCGACCTAATCCGTTCCACTACCTTCACAATGTCCACCTGCTTCGTCAAAGTAGCTAGAGGAGACATCTGAATCGTCGTGGAAGTTCCCTGTTCTGTCCAAATGACTGGGACATTGCGAAGTCGAAGCATGGGGCCCGGATGTTTCAGACGGACGACGAGAAGGTTCAGGCCACAGCTCCCCTTCGCGGATGTGCAAAGCGTGAACCTGCCTTCTCAATTCCAAGCTACCGTCTTCCTCCTGCTTATACTTTCCGGCCTCCGTGCGCGCCTCGTCACGCTCACGAGCGAGTTGATGCACACCACGGACATGGCGTTGCTTGTCTGCAGCCAGCCTTGCAACCTCCTCTGACAAACGATCGATCTCTGCGCATGCCGCTGCATAATGGTGACATGATTGCTCATACCTAGCAATGACCGCTGCCAACAGGCCGCCCAACTCTCGGGAACAACGATCCATGCGTGACTGCGTACGGAGAGCCATGGCCTTCATAGACTGGATATTTTGAGGTGGTGATGACGTGTTCGGTCTATCCTCGTCCCTCTCCGCCATCTCTCTCGCTCTCTCTCTCTCTCTCTCTCTCTCTCTCTCTCTCTCTCTCTCTCTCTCTTGCACGTGCTGAACCGACTATGTCATCCTCATGGCATCCTCATGGCTTGTGGACCGTAACCGCCGTACAGGTTTCGATCCCAGCTTCAGGAGCACCTTGGATTATGAACGGCCGACCGACTTTATATCTTAAAGCCATTGCAACGGACCGCTGTCCGAGAATCAAAGGTCACATTTGTTGCACGGGAGTGGGGTAAGGGTGCATAGCTGTCTCTTATACACATCTAGATGTGTATAAGAGACAGTCACTGGACGTTGGCAAAAAAAGATTTATCGCTCG